GGGTTACTCCCCACCACCACCACCCTCCCTTTTTTTTTGCGCGGGGCGCACGTCCTAGGACGTGGGCGGATGGTTTCCTGTCTTATATTGTGGATACGGAGACGGCCGGGCTTTTGGTTTCTTTTCCCCACCCTTAAAGAATGAAGACCTGTCAGTTCCCATTAGCGTGAATTTCCTGTTGGGGACGGTCATTGCAGGGGTGTGGTCCAGCTGGAAAGCTCTGGCTGGTCCCGAGAGCTTGTGCCTGCACCCTGATTGGGTGAATTTTTCTGGAGTCGGGTATTTTCCCCGTCCCCGCATATGTAGTTAGGTATTTAAGAACCAAGGGTCTGCCTAAAGGCGATGTGAGCTGCCCAGGAAGGTGGCCACTGATCGCCAGGGACTCTTGAGCGCTTGGAATGTGGCTAGACCCAATGGAGATGCGCTCCCAGTGAAAAAGACACACCTTAAACACTTAATATGGAAAAAAAAGTAAAATACCTCATTCGTTAATTTTTTTCAACTTAAATCGTACAGGTTGATATGATAATGTTTTGAACATATTGGGTTAATGCAAATATATTATTAAAATTAATGTCACTGGTTTCATTTTACTTTTTTTTTTAACATGGCTACTTGAAAATTTAAAATTAGGTATATGACTCGCATTATACTTCTATTGGACAGTGTTCAGCCAGAGCATCGGAATGGGGGCAGGGGTAGCTGGGAGCCTATGGCATCTGCTTATTTTTAACTGCTTTTCTGATGGCACGTGGCCTCCTCTCTCTTAGCCTCTCAAGGAACCCCCTGCTTCTTCCTTCTCACCCTCAACTGAACTGTCGAGCTGATTGCTTAATGAGGATCTTGTTCTAATTTGCAGAATAATTTAAATTAGTGGACAGAACTTTCTTTGTTGAAAAAAATGTCTGTATGCTGTGTATTGTAGTCTGGAAATAGTTGTGTAAGATTCGTCTCAGAGTCAGATCATGAGCTATCAAAGCTGAATATTTTCAGTGTTTGTGTGTGTGATGCAAAGAGCATGTTAATTTTCAGGGCCTCTGCCACCTCAATGCCTTCTTCCAAGTTACTGTGGCTTTTTCTTGGGCGCTCGTCATACCCTGACCTACACTCTCTTCCCTTCCCGGCCCTCAGATGCTGTCAGTTTTTGGGAATAAATATGGTGGTTGTCAACCATATTGTCCCCTAATTCTTAATTTTGATTAACTGTAAAACTTGCCAGTTTGGGAGGGTTAAATCAATGTTAAGTGGGAGAGAATCAATTACTATAGATCCTCAACTTTAGGAATGGTGAGAGTGACTTTTGGAAAGTTGTGAGCATTCCAATAAAGGACAAGGTAGAAACAGAATATGTCTGTATTCTGTTGCCTTGGTTACTCTAGAAGGGCTTTCAAGAGAAAGTATGATGTGTGGAGACGACTTCTGGATAGTATCTTGAGGTGTTTTTTTGGTTTGTTTTTTGTTTTTAAATGAAAATACTTTTTCTCCAGAATCTTAGGGTTGGAAGTGGTTTTCTCCAAAGTGTGATGTGTTTACAAATCAAGAGGAAAACTTTAGATAGTATTTTTAGGGGGAATAAATAGTAAAACATTAATCCAGAAGTTTAAAAGTTTATGCTTGTGACAATACATCTGTTTTATTTTTATTGTTTTTTTAAATTTTATTTTATTTATTTATTTTTGGCGTATAGGGTCTTCGTTGCTGCACGCGGGCTTCCTCCAGTTGCATGGAGCGGGGGCTACTCTTCCTTGCGGTGTGCGGGCTTCTCCTTGTGATGGCTTCTCTCGTTGTGGAGCACGGGGCTCTAGGCATGCGGGCTCACTAGTTGTGGCTTGCGGGCTCTGGAGCACAGGCTCAGTAGTTGTGGCGCACAAGCTTAGTTGCTCCGCGGCATGTGGGATCTTCCCGGACCAGGGCTTGAACCCATGTCCCCTGCATTGGCAGGTGGATTCTTAACCACTGTGCCGCCAGGGAAGTCCCAGTACGTTTGTTTTAATTCATACACACATGAAGCACATTAAGTGGAGGGGAAAATTTTCTTTGATATAAAGAAACAAGGCCACTTGTCCTTACCAGGTTTTGCCCCAACAAGAAATTTGCTTTTTAATTTTATTATGAGTTTAACGATGTGTTTTTAGTTAATTGATTACTATTAATTTCACATATCTTTCAAAGCTTTGGGAGCCAGGTAATGGATGCAATAAGAGAGAGGCAGAAATTTTTCTGTTTCACAAATAAGGAAGTGGAACCTTTGTATTTTATTAGAATACCTGAGTCTGGAGCGGGAGAGTAATCTGGCACTTCAGAATACCTCCTCTGCAGTCCTGGACATGTCACTGACCCAGGGTCTGTGCGCCCCTGGGCAAGCTGTTTGGAAGATTTCACATCTTTCTTGTTCATTCCTCCCATGCAGGGTTCCTGTATGAGGTGAGATGTCCCCTGGGCCTTAGGAGGGCTGGGCCCTATAATGGGCACCTGGCACATGTTATTATATCTGACAGCAAGTTCAAAATGGATAGCTCGGGGGCAGGGGTGGGAGTGTGGCAAAAATATGAAATTTCCTTTGTGATGTTGTTTAGCACAGCCTTCATCATGGGGGTTTCGTTTTCAGTAAAAGGGGGAAACTGTCTCATGAAGTATTCAGTAGGAGTTTGAGTGTTCCAAGAAAGTGATAGAACATCTGTAATAATGTTTCCCTCCCTGGGTTTGTGGTCACTGAGGGATGTAATATATCCATGTGCTTTTGTAAGTATTACCAGAGTGCACGAACACTGCTGCAAGCTGGGGTGACAGGAACTTTAACTACTTTGTGTGCGTGTTTGTTTATGCCATTACCATGACAGGCTTGAGTCTGAGGGTAGCATTGAATACAGACTGGAAATTATAATTTTTCACTTGAAACTTAGGAATACCTTTTTAGTCAGAAATACAGGCACTGTGCCGCATTCCCTGGGTCACCTTCTCTGGTTCTGTATGAAGATATCTTGGAAGTAAGGCTGTTTAATATTTATTCCTTGCATCTAAACACGTGATGTTGTGGGTGGAGCGTATTTCCATTCAAAGCTCTGGCCCCAGAGTGCTATCCTAACTCTCTGTGTCCACGCCGCGGACACCCTCTGCTTGTCTGAGTTGTTTTAAATCATGTCCCTTGCACACGTCATCATGTGTGCCTGTGTGTGCAGAGACGTGTGTTTGTCCTGTTCCTCTCTAGTGGCTTTGAAGTGCCCACCTGTCTGTCGCAGCTGCATGTGTTTTTCAGAGCCCAGCCCAGGGCCAGCGTAGCCGTGCTCGACCTCCTGGCACGCGCGGTGCGGAATTGCTCTGTGGATAGGAATTCAGGCTCGGAGCCAGCCTGGCCGGCTCGGCCACTTCCAGGCTGTGTGATCCTGGACTATTTGCGCCACTTCTCTGTGCTTCCGTTTCCTCTTAAGTACCTACCTCGCAGGGTTCTTAGGAGGATTAGATGATTTAATATGTGTAAAGAACTTCGAACAATACCCGGTGTCCACTAAGAGGCTTCGGTGTTAGCTATTATTTCCATCTCTACCGGATATTGTAGTCACATTTCGTTTCTTTGGTGTTTTCTGATAAGGGGAGCTAGTTTATGAAGTTACCATGTAAGGCCAAAATTTTACGGTTTAGCATTTCATGGTTTAGTTATAGCTTTGTACTGGACTTTACTATAATGGGTTCCACCTAACAAGTATGGAATAAATATGTAAGGAATTATACTGGAGAACCAGGGGACCTTTGCTCCTGTAAAGCTTCATAGTGAGTAAGGAACTTAAAATCAGCTGATTCCAGAAAGGTGATGTATGTTCCAGCTTGCAAGAGTTTAGTTAATTGAATGAAATTCCTATCTAATTGAGTTTCTGGCGTATTTTCTTTCTTTATTTTTTACTGTTCAGATCTCCCACCCCCATCTCTTCCTTTTTGTTTAAGGAGAAAAAGGTGTGGCTGACTTTCTTTTCCCCTGTTGACAATGAATGAAACCCTTCGCCCGCACTCCTTGAGCAGCTTATGGTTTCAGGTTTTTCTCTGTCACTGTCTCTGGTTGATTCCCACCCTATTGATTTACCCCCCTGCTTTGCTCCCTAAGGAGGTGGGGCCCACCTCAGCCGGCCCTGCTGGCCTCTGGTCACATCCTCTTGGCCCCATCCTTTGGTTTGTCACACTTGCCTTGAGTGAACGGCTGTACCAGGTACTTTATACGGAGCGTTGTCTTTACGCTTGGCCACTTCATTCATTCTTCATTCAAGTTTTCATTGACTTGGACCCAGAGAGTGTAAGGTGATCAGGACTAAGAAAGATAGGGGGCCCCTGGAAGGGAATGATGGGGTGAGAGTGGGGTGTGGCGACAGAGTTGGGGGGGAGGGACGGCCTTTAAAGCTGACACTGAAGCCAAGACTCTGGGGTGAGAGGCCCGTGCAGATCTGGGGAGAGTGTCGTGGCCAAAGGGAACAGCAGGCACGAGGTCCCAGAAGAACAGAGCCCTTGACTCATCCCAGGAACCCACAGGAAGAAGGCCAGTGCGACGGGCTGGGTGAGGGCGGCGTCACAGGCAGGAGTCTAGATTTGATTCTGAGTGCCCAGGGGACGCCGGCAGAGGATTTTAAGCAGGGCTGCAATGACCAATTTGTGCTTTTAAAGAGCATTCCTTTCAGTTTCGTGTGGGAACTGCATGGTGGAGGGGACAGCGGAGAGGATAGGGAGCTGAGAGCAGAGGTGGGAGAGGAGGGTATTTCGACATCCACCTGTGGCCCAGGCGGAGGTGGCAGAGGAGGTTTGAGAACTGACAGATTTGGGGTGTCCCGCATGTATTTTGATGGTATCACTGATGGAGCCTTTGTCGGTGGATTGACTGGATGTGGTGAGAGAATGGTTTCCGGTTTGAGCAATTGGCCAGAAGGTGGTTTTAGTACTAAGAAGGTAAGTTTGGGCAAAAGGTTAGTCTTGGGAGGAGGGTGTAGGATTAAGGGGCATTCTAGTTAAAAACGCTGAGTAAAGGTCACAAACTGACCCAGAATTTTGTATGCGCCTTAGGCATATCAGTGTAGGATAGAAGGCCTTTTTGTAAATGGTGTTTGGGCAACTGGTAGCTATCTGGGAGGGAAATACACACACACACACACACACACACACACACACACACGTATCCAGTTTATGAAAAAAAAAATTTTAATGGAACAGTGAGAATAGTAGAAGAAAACGTGGAGAATTATTTTATGATCTCAGAGTGGAGCAGGCATTTCTGAGTATGTCAAAATCCATAAGCCATAAAAATAAGTATTGATAAACTCAGCTACTTAAAAATAAAACTTTTGCTATCAAAAAGTACCAAAACTGGGACTTCCCTGGTGGCGCAGTGGTTAAGAATCCTCCTGCCGGTGCAGGGGATACGGGTTCCATCCCTGATCGGGGAAGATCCCACATGCTGCGGAGCAGCTAAGCCCGTGCACCACAACTACTGAGCCTGTGCTCTAGAGCCTGTGAGCCACAACTACTGAGCCCACGTGCCACAACTACTGAAGCCCGCGCACCTAGAGCCCGTGCTCCGCAGCAAGAGAAGCCACCTCAGTGAGAAGCCCGCGCACCGCAATTAAGAGTAGCCCCTGCTTGCCGCAACTAGAGAAAGCCTGCGCGCAGCAGCAAAGACCCAGTGCAGCCAAAAAAAAAAAAAAATGTACCATAACCAATGTCAGAAGATTGACATCACATTGGAGAAAATAATAATAACATCACAAAAGACTGCTTTCCTCAACACATAAAGAACTTCCATAAGTCAGAAAAGCCCAACCTGGAAGAAAAATGGGTGAAGGAAATGAAACAGTTCATGGAAAAGGAAGTGCAAACAGCTCTTAAATCTGAAGAGGTGTTCGGCCTCACTAATGATAGACTAGAACAAGCAGGACCCCAACCACAGTTGTCACACTGTTTCTCGTCTCCCTGACAGTGATGGAAACATTTGATAATTTCTTGGTGAAGGGGTAAAATAGGAACCCTTGTGCACTGGTGGTGGGTAGGGTCATTTGGTAGAACTTGGCAGTAGCTGGCAAAATAAAGAAATGTACATACCCTTCATCCTACGGAAATTCTTTGAAGATATGCGTATATGAAATGTTCTGTGTACCTGGTGAACTTTTAAAGATTGGAAACAACCAGAATGTCCATGACTAGGGGGCTGGTGATGTTATGGTGCAGCCATATCACGGAGCACATTGCACAGCTGTTAAAGGTAATGCAGCTTGATACGTGCTGATATGGACTGACCTTTAAGATATGAGGTACCAATCGAGAAAAGCAAGGTGCAGAACGTGTTAGGAGCCCCAGTTTGTATAAAAAATAACGTATGCACAGGATATTTTTAACTTTTTTTTTTTTCTGCGGTACGCGGGCCTCTCACTGCTGTGGCCTCTCCCGTCGCGGAGCACAGGCTCGAGACGCGCAGGCTCAGCGGCCATGGCTCACGGGCCCAGCCACTCCGCGGCATGTAGGATCTTCCCGGACCGGGGCACGAACCCGTGTCCCCTGCATCGGGGGGCGGACTCTCAACCACTGCGCCACCAGGGAAGCCCTAACTTTTTGTTTTGAAATAATTATAGACTCACAGGAAATTGCAAAAGTTGTATATAGAATCCCATGAACCCTTCATCTGCTTCCCCCAGTGGTGCCATCTTACCTAACTGTAGTGCAATAGCAACGTCAGGAAACTGACATTCACATAATACTGTTAACCAGACTACAGACCTGACTCAGTTTTACATTCATTCGTGTGTGTATGTGCGCGCGCGCACGCCTGTGTGTGTGTGTGTGTGTGTGTGTGTGTGTGTGTATCTATGCTGTTTTATCCCATGTATAGATTCATGTAACTACCATTACAATCAAGATAGAGCTTGGTTCACACAGTGTCTTTGTCAGGACACAACAGATCGGTAACAATGGTATTGATTGATTGCCTTCACAGGGCAAATGGGTGGTAGAATGACAGGGTTGGGAAGGCGACATTCCTTTTCACTGTCATAATATTTAAACTCCTGCTCTCCAAACAGTGTGTGATGTCTGGACACCCAAGTAGAACTACCAGGTAGAGGGTATCTACCAAGCTCTGCCAGGGGACAGACGTGTGGAGTTGTCGGACCCTAGATGAGTGTATTTAACATCTGGGCAGAGCAGGAGGTCCCTGAGGGGAGAGGGTGCCTGGGGGAAGGGGGGTCTGATGACGCCCCAGGGCCCTCACGTTTAGAGGTCAGCTGGAGATGAAGCCCCTGTTTTGAGGAGACAGTGGACACCTGTCATGTGTTGCTGAGTTTGAAGAAGGAAAGTGATTGTTGGATTAACTTTATCAAATACTTTCTCACTTGAAAATTGAGGCCAGATTTTGTTGACTGGATCTGAAAATAAGATGGTGTATAAAGCCTTTATCGTTTTCTTTTAAAATGAGATGGGGGGGTGGGGAGGCTTTATTTCACAGGTAAAACTAATCTATGGTGGAAAAAAAATCAGAACAGTGATTCCTGGGCTGGGGGTGGGGCAAGGATTGGCTAGAGAAGGGGCCTGAGGGAACTTTCTGGAGTGACAGTGATGGTGTGTCTCACCACCGGGGTCTGGGTTACATGAGTGTATCGTTTGTTAAAAGTTGCCTTAAATTGTGTGCGTTTTAACTTAAAAAACTAAATAAATGTGGAACCCCAGGTAATGATATGTATGCTGAAGTGTTTAGTGGTAAATTATAATTGATGTCTGCTACTCAGTTTGCAGTTTACCAGAATTGGGTTGATAGATGGACGGAAGTGTGGGCAGATGTAATAAATATAGCAAAATATTAGTTGTAGGATATAGGTAGTATAGAGATATATGTTGTTCATTGTAAAAAAAAAAATTTACTGTGTGTGTAAAATTCTTCATAATAAAATTTAGGGGGAAAATCTACAGAACATGAAATGCCCTGCCATATTATATTTAGACATCACCTGATGTTATGTCCTCAAATCTTTAAACATTTAAAGGAGGTATGGTATTTCACGCTGTTAAGAATCTGCGTCTTATTTTCTCTTAAACACTTGCTTGAGTTGTCAGCTCTCTTCCACCTGCCCTTTGTCCTTAAGAGGGCAAGGTTCGAGGTTTTTCGAGCACTTTCTGGGGAAATAGCTCTAAGGCTCTTAACTTGGCAGATTATCATTACCCCGGAGTTCCTTCTGAGCCAACAGATTTACTTTTTGAGTGAACCTCAAACTAATTCCCCACCCCACCAGACAGGGGTTGGGAGACATGTCCCTCACGGAAGGAGAGGGGATGCTTCTTGTCTTTGGCTTCACTTCTTTTCTCCCAGTCCCTCTGGCCTGATCTCCCTGGACCCCCAAGTGCAGTGCCTTTGAGTTCTAAGGTTCTGACTGTGTTTTAAGTAAAATAGAAGAAAAGGGCTGGGTGACCCGGTAAGTCATCTTTCTAAGGAAGGGCTCAGAAGCTA